CTCTAGAAAGTAAACTCCCAGGATTCGTACGCAACATAGTTTTATTGTCACACTGCTCATTACACTCGCATGTGTGTATGCTCATTTGATACAGCTTTAGCAGCGCTATATGGTGCATAACATTTCCGGAACGAGCTTGTGCGCATCAAATTTTAGCTCCAATTCAAAGCAATCGCACCGTTCCACGGGAACAAAAGTGCGATTTTCTGTATCGCCAATCGCACAGCAACATGTGTTTTCTCAAAGAAAAGCCAACACCAAGGACTATACGACAAGCAATCAACCACAGCTATCGACTGCTAAGCGGTAGCTGCGGGGTATTTTATCTCTTTGTAGCTCAGTTGCTTTGTTTATGGAATAAATGATGCAGCCAGTTAAACTAACCCATCGGCCCCGCCAGCTCTGGACGTACTGAACGTGTCAACCATGAAAATAGAGTCGATGCAGCGCGCAAGCGAAACACAGGTAATCATAGGCGCTCAACCATTGACCAGAAAGGCATTGCTTGACGCAAGCAAGTCTAACAATCAACCAAGAGCACATTTTACGGCACCCGGATCTACAGTAGTGTGCAGGGTTCCTTCCTTCCTGGGTAACAAATGAACAGGAATTCAGTTTCCCAATTGCCTCGTCAAGAACCATACTATGTATTCTTAGCTCACAGTAAACCAGTAGAGGATAAACAGGGTACACCATATTCTCTGTGACCCTACGCAGTATGTATGTCTATCCCAGTGGTAATCATTGAACAGAACCTAGACCAGAAACACGAGACTGGTGGCAATGTTTGAATAAGTATGTGATACCAAAATCGATTCATCGGAAGAAGGCGTAACAGAGGTCAAAGCAGTAGGATTAGCAAATACTAGTCCGAGACGGTGCCGTAATTGAGCGCAGATATAAAAAGAAAAATGTAGTCGAACACAGAGCACTATATATATATATATATATATATATATATATATATATATATATATATATATATATATATATATATATATATATATATATATATATATATATATATATATATATATATATATATATATATATATATATATATATATATATATATATATATATATATATATATATATATATATATATATATATATATATATATATATATATATATATATATATATATAGTCCAACCCGTTTTATTGCCCACGACCGGGATTTTACAAAAGTGGGCATTAAAGCACAGTTGGCAACTAACCGATTTTGCATTTTTTCAAAAGGGAAACAAGCATCGAATTATAAAACAGTTGATCACTTGAATCGTAACATGCTAAGAAAGACAAAACACATCCTTGTGCACATGAATTGAAACAAACTACGATTGTGTCTCTTTTTCTATGAATATCATGCTTTTATACACGAAAGCTGCCGTTCTGCATTTATTTTTTTATTTTGTTTTGGGAATAGATATTTCATCATTGTTTGTGAATCAGACGATGTAATAACTGCGCATGTCTAGTCGTTACATCACCCAAGATTGCATCATACTTTTTATGGTTAGTAAGGTTTTTGTTTCAACTTCTTTTTTGTGATTCAGTCATTGTTTGAGATGGACGTGACTCCCAGAAGGGGCATGAAGATCGTGACCTTGCACGAACACACAGACAAGACCTACAGGGACATAGCAAGAATAGTAGGCGTCAGTCCGGCAACCGTCAGCCGTGTGGTCAAAAGGAAAAAGGAAACGGGATGCATTTCGCCAAAACGCAAAGGGAAATGTGGTCCTAAGAGGAAAACCACTGCCAGGGATGACGATTACCTAATACGGGAAAGATCCTCGAAAGACTATTGACGCATTAAAACGTGATTTGGAGGAGAAAGGAATAGAAATCAGTTCTTCAACGGTTCGCAGGCGACTCCTGGAAGTTGGTCGGAAAGCCAGACAGCCTTTGAAAAAACAACTTCTGACAAAAGTAATGAAAGTTAAGCTTTACAAATAGGGATTAAAATACAAAAACTGGACAAAAGAAGATTGGAGAAATGTCCTAATCAGCGATGGAAGCCATTTCTATGTTCATGGTCAGAGAAGTCAGTATGTTCGGAGGTCAGAGGGAGAAAAGGTTCGTGATTTTCACATTGACCACTTTGTGAAACACCCACAAAAGCAGATGTTTTGGGGGTGCTTTAGTTATTACGGCGTCGGCGCCTTGCATCCAGTCGTGGGCATGATGCGCTCTCCACAATATATAGAAGTTCTCCAAAGAAGAGCTGTTCCAGAACTAAAAAAGGCATTTCCTGACGGATCTGGCGTATTTCAACAAGATCTGGCCCCGTGCCACACATCAAAAATGGTCAAGACTTTTTTCAATACTAATCAAATAACCATCTTGGACTGGCCTGGGAATTCACCAGATTTAAACCCCATTGAAAATATGTGGTCTATTTGCAAGCGACGCCTTCGTGGCATGGACTGTACGACAAAGAAGAAACTTAATCAAGCTTCAATTCAAGTTTGGTACAGGGACCCAAGATGGGTCAAAGTTTGTTCAAATTTAGTGGATTCCATGCGAAATCGTATTAAAATGCTACTCAAAAGTCGAGGAGGTCCTGTTGTGTATTGATGTGAGTATATGAGTGCAATTCATTGCAACAATTTTGAAAAAAAAGTTTTTCACTGTTTTCGCAGTTTGTTTAAATTAATGTGCACAAGGATGTACGTACTTGTAACTAGAGCCTACAAAAGTCGTTTATTCAGAAGAGCATTACCTAAAGTTGATGAATTATAACAAAGCACCCTACCTTGAGGGACATAGAAAATGGCGCTACTGTATACTTTTGCTGAGTAAACAATCCAACGCCAGTTGCACATTATTTTGAGCTGCTACTATAGTTAGCTTTGAGCTGTTCAAATCCAATTTGCACAATAAATCGCCGCCTAGCCCATACAGAAATTCCTATCTATACAGATCATTCACGAAGTTCTTTGCTCTTGAATGTGACACGCACACACGTCTCTCATGCTAACTGTGGTAACCTTGCGTAACTGTCAGGTGGAATTTTTTGATTAAGTTTCGGACATTTTGAATTTTTTGCGGATCCGCTTATAACCAATTTACTCTATATGCTCATCTAGCGAAGATTTATATCAGCATATACGTTTACTTCATTGGATCTCTTATTTGATATCGGTATCTAGAATGATTGGCTGTTGTTTGACATCTCAGGTGTGGCTGCGCTTGATGTGTCTGTTGACAAGGTGCCTATCTGTCTATTACCCAGTACTTAGGGGCCCCTGGATGGACAAGGTATCACATCAGCGTTGTATAGAAGAAAGAATAGTAAATGAAATACAATACGAGAAAGACTAATAGAGGCCGATGCTGTGAAGTGTTTTAAAATACGTACAAATGATTATCTCGAAAACCTGTGCTCTTGTGAAACGGCGAACATACAATGCGAAAGATACATCTTATACCCGGAAATAATGACACCAATACGAATTCCTAACCGAACAAGAACAAGCGGTTAACTGACCAAACATTAACACTGACGATTCGCAATTAAATGTTTTTGATTTTTCATAATTCGAGAGTTGTAAAGAAACCTTTCTACTGGTTCTTAAATACAATTCAGTATATAGGGTGTGGGGATGGAAATGTGGGCGGTACAGCGCAAGCTACCCATGGTCCCTCTGAAGGCGAAGGGGTCGTGTCTGTCCTGTGGAGGACACGGTGACAGGCTAATCAGGAATCGGATACTTTCCGCCACATACATCTGCACTGCCAAATGACGTTGCAGAACTGTTACACAAATTGCATCGAGAGTTCCGTCCTGGAACACCTGGCCCAAACTGTATACCAAGTCAGAACTATTGGTGCCTTCACGTATTTAATGTCATGTCAACTGGTTCAGAAGACGTACCTTATAGACTGCCGAAGTCACCGCGAGCAAGCCGACACAACTGGAACTAGGTAGTCAGAGGGCACGCGTGCAACTCCTCTTCCTACCACGGACCTAATTTAATTCCGGATAAGCTTAATTTCACACGAAGACGCGTGCGCTGCATTGTTGGTCCGTCGCCACCCGATCACCAGGTGAGGCACACTGAGAGATACCCGCAAATTCATAAGTTTGATCTAGCGACATTTTGGACAGACGCCTTCGGTCATAGACCTAGGTGAGAAAAACGAGGTCGACCACGAACAGGATACAAAGAATTGGAAGTAAGGAAGCATCGACAGCTAGGTGAAAGAAACCGAATGCACAAGCACCACTGAGTTCACGAGCGAGTCTTTAACCATCCGAGGAAACGTTGCGTACCAGCATGGTCAATTCCATCGGCTAATTTCGTCATGCTCTCATGTCATAGTACCGAACGACCATCATGCGGTTCCGCTAAATTTGATGCAGCAACAGCATAAATCACTCAATGGGAACCAGTTGTGTTCTTGTTTTGTATAACAGCACGCCTTTAACGCAGCCTCTTTCAGCCTACCACTATGGAAGACTTTAAAAAAGGTTTGAATAAGTGTTGGTCGGGTCTTTTCCACGAATTATTGCAAATTTATTGGCAATTGTCATAGAGCTCACAGTCTATGATCCAAAAAGATAGAGAGGTTGCGCTTGTGCACGGTACACTTCTTTCGCAGAGGCAAAGGAAACAACTAAAACGTCGAAGTGCCGAAAGCTCAGGTTTGCTTCCCGGTACAAGAAACGGGACGCTCGATAGGCGGGAGCCTATTACAACACTGGAACCTTTTTTGACTTGGCATATAACCTTTAACTGGTAAGCTTACACCCCGCTGTCCTGTAGAAGCCTGAGTAGCAGAAACGTCATACGGACTGCTGATGCGTGAAGTGACCTGCACCATGGTACGTGAGCCGGTAGACTACTGCATGACTGTCGTCTGGTATCAAGAATAGATGGCGCATCGGTTTGAATACACGTTGAAACTCATAAACCGGAGTTGTGGGAGCACAGTTCGATAAGACGACAAGTTGTACATAAGATAAACTACGATAGACAGCAGAGAAAGTCCCTGGTAGATGTCACATGAGGTGTCCACCTTCATGGATGATAATGACGATTCAGAGTGGTGGAATAACCGATAAGCAATGGTTTGTTAATATTGTTTCCAAGTGGTTGTATCATGGTAGAAGCCCAAACACGAATAATAAAAATGGACACGAGAGAGTGACGGACTAGCCAAGCGATCGTAATATGTACAATGGCTAACAAATGAGTTCATACAACGATGTAAGCATATAATAATAATAGTTATATGTACACAAGGGAAGAATAAAAGGGTTCCCGCTATAACTGCTGAAAAACCAACGGGGGCGCACAATGCGATAGCGACGACAGTTATTATATACACAAGGCACAGGAGCTGTAAAAGGAGAACGCGATACAATGCGCGCGCTCTCTCTCTCGATAAAAAGCAATCACAGCCAACACCTAGTGTTATCACATTGTCGAATGCACGAGGCGGGAGGAATTGGCAGTATAGAGTTCACGAATGGTAATAGGGATTGGTGCAATATGTGTAACCACTGAGCCAGGGCGAGAGAGGAGTCGGTGGCGGTTGAACTCGGGCCTGAAGAATAGAAAGATCCGCTTCGACTAACATCAGAGCTTCCAAGTTGTGTAATGGGATAAATACAACGAAAAAAATGCCTTCTCTCCACTCGGTAGTGGCGAAAAGGCGAACTGCTACACGAACAAGGTGAAGAGAGATAGCAGCAGTCAAGGAACGCGTAAAGTGGATTGGCGACGCTGCGAAAGGCGGAGGCACTCCAGCAAAATGCACATGTGTGGACACGGGGAGTCACTAATTGTAAATGCATCAGGGGGTGTTCAGACGGTTGTGATCACAATAAGTAAATACGGGGCGGCGCATTGGGAGAGTTCACGTGACACATTGGGCGCAAATCCATCCAACTGGGAACGGGAGAATTCACACGGCGGGAATATGTGCATCACGTACATGTTCTGTAGAGAAGGAAGGACAAAAACGTTCAGCTGACAGCCCAGTGAGTAAAATAACGCGACCAGCCAGCAAACATATTCCACTATAAGCAGAACAGGCAAATCGCACGGAAAATATTAAAAACAGGTTAGAGAGGTGAGGTACGACGTCATACACAGTAAAAAGTGTGTTGGTAGGCGAATTAAGTTGCTGAAATTCAAAAAGCAGTTAGAGTGAAAAGCAGATTGCTGGCGAGGGATGAAGAGTGACTCAAGCAGCTGTAGTAGGCATAGAACCGAAAATCGGATAGGTCAGAGACAAGTTTAAATAACCGCTTACCTGTTGTGTGCAGGGGTGACAGACGTTGATTATGCCCGCAGCACATTTATCCACTAAATATTTTATGAAACCATCACAAAGGATGTGATTCATTCGAATCTTTTCATTCTGCAAGGAGGCTTCCGCGGTTTCTGCCGGAGCGGTTGCCAGCGTTAAGCACATACAAAAGTCAGTGACTTGACGCAATTTGCGTTGTACACCGTCGAGCTGCGACGGCTCCAAACGCATCCGTTGAACGATCTTCAGGGGTGGTGCCAGTGCAGGGTCTATGTCAGCGGAGTCTGGATCCTGTTCTAACAAAATATTCATGGAATTCTTCAAAAGCGTACGATTGCCAGCAAGGTAATGCATATGTACAAAAACTTCTTCATTCTTCAAAGATAGTCGACCTTGCCATGAAAGAGGGTGACCCTGGAAGTGAGAGCAATAAAGAAGCGGTTACAGAAATAATCACAAGAGAAATAAATTACTAGATCACTAAGTAAGTCAGCCCATCACGGGAGACCCGCATACGTATCCTGGGTGAAAGAGCGTCATTTGCCAGGTGCACAAGCCAATGAGAGGTCCAAGTGAAATCGCAATTGTGTGAGCAAGACGGGCGCCGCAAGTCACCGTCGCCAACATGCTACAGAATAATAACCCAAATCGAATAAAAATGAAAGAGATACATAGAGTAGTATATAGAGAAGTGAATTTTCAGTTGGATAGATGCACCGATGCAGCAGAGAAATCGATGGCAGCCATGTTCCATGCCCATAACTACAGGAAAGGAGCGCTAGGACAAGAGAAATGTGCCCAGGATAAAAACGCCCCAGGCAAGAATGCAAGGGAAGAAAACGAGTGAAACGCCCGCTCACGGTCGACTGGATCAACACATATTTAAGTAAAGGAATATGGGAACATAAAACACGAGTTAATTTCCAGCATCCGTGCCTGATCTCGGAATTTCGTTATCATTATTGAACCACAAAAAGCGGATGAAGTGAATTTGGATTTTCGATGATACCACGTAAGACCTATGCAATTAAACCTGGGTCTAGTGTGTGGACAAACGATACGAGTCGGCATTCCGTGGTCAACGCTGGTCGAAGTTGTAGACGCCACATTATCCCGAGAGTCAAGGGTTACAAATGGTCTAGATTATTTTGGGGGGTTATGTTGAAGGACGTGTAATCTGAATGGATTACGATGCACGATTTCAGCCTGAAACGCAGCTCACATTGAGGAGAACCTTTGTCAATTCAGCCATCACTGGGATGGCGCGTGTGGAGATATCTCGCGGTGTTGCGAACCAGCAACGTTCACCATTCAGTTTGTGTAAACCTCAGCTATGTACATCATTTGGGCCGTGCCACCCGACCACGACAGACGCAGTTGCCTCCAATATCCGCTTGTAGATGTACCCCAAATCACAAAGACTTGAGACTCAGTCCAGTTAGTGCAATGGTCTGTGTCGGTGAGATGCTCCGCTTTGGAGAAATACGGCATTTTTCGGCCCCAAGACACTATGGAGCCGAAAGTTAGAGGAGGAAAACATCAAACATAAACCACTTAGGGGAGCCTCATCTGCACACACACACACACTCACACAATGTTATCAATTTTTTGCCCCATCAGTTAATTGTCCATCAAAGAGAGTAAGTAACTGAGCCCCTCGTCAACCACGCAGATGAGGAAGCCAGATGCCAGTCCAAATTTAGGGAGGAACAGCGGAACAACGGTACAATGTGGGTTAAAAAGTGATTACTTGACGAGTCACGTTAGACTGCCAGGATGAGAACCAAGAAACAGAAGGTGGTGACAAAATGAAGAGGGCTTAAAAAGGCTCACTACAGTTACCATGAAAGCATACTACAACTGCGCAGAGAACGCTTATCAGTGCAACGTTTGTCGCGTCAAATCGTCTCTTCGTATTGTGTAGCGATGGCCAAGAGCGGCGTCAATTCGTTTTTTGAGCGTAAGTACTATAGCAGCGGAAGCCATGTGACCAGATGACTTTCCATGGCTGGCACAAACGGAGAGACAAAAACCTCGTGGGAATTCAGCCGACTATATTGTGTGGCTTTATGGGTTCCCGTAGTAAGCTTCCAAAAATGGTAAACGTGGACGTAGTCCCTCCGGATCTGGTACGCCACGTCGGTGCCAACAGTGACAAGTGTATGGTGTTGGGACTCGCGGTCTAAGTTGGTATGGTAGGCTGAAGAATCACTTAATGTGCATGGTTGATGTAAGTTGTGAGGTCTCGAGCGTTGCGACATCATGATTCTGCCAGGGCTACCAGGCCCGGATAGCATATTCCACATGAGGTCGGAGGTAGGTGAAAACCGTCTGAGTGTAGGTGGATAGATCAAACCGCCTGAGCGCCGTCTAGAGAAGAAAATATTTGTTCCCGACCGCCGACGCCTTTTTAAGTGTCTGGAGTAGTCTAGGTCATCATGAATTTGCGCCCCAAAGTCAAGCTCCTGAAAGATCTCCTGCAGAACATGGTTTCTAAGTAAATACATGCAGTTCAGCCGTTGACGAACGTAGAACAATTAGACGAAGCGAAATTAAGCAGATCCATCAACGGCTGTTTATAAGCGTGATTTAGGTCTCATTGGATTGCTTCGTGATCTCGCTAGTCTTCAGTCACTCGCCCTATCTTAAAGAAATCTAAGGCGGAAAGTGTGCAAAATGATTAGTGAACACAAGGAATAGCCGCACTCGATATGGATGGGGCGAGATAATACACTCCGAAATCAAACCTGCAGTTGCCAGTTACTCAGGAAATTCTCAATGCACTCGAGGACAGAATCGCCGGTTCCGAAGAAAATCGTGGGTAGCTAGGGGTGTTCCGTTGTCTTCCGATCCGAAGATAAAGGTTGCAAATGTTTTGCCTCAAGATACGCGACATTATTGATGCGGCTTTCGGGGCCGCTTCCAGATCCATGTGATTACTGATCAATTGTTGATTTGATCTCAGATGAATGGTTTGTTTAACCCCCAATGTTGCATAGGCAATCTCTAACTCCAGGTAATTATGGATTGAGCCATGCTCGACGCACGAGGCCTCGATGAACTCAGACTAAATTCAAGTAATCCCGCGTCAAATGTCCTGCCTGTTTGGCCTACATACCATTTGCCAGTGTTTGCAAGGGATTTCGTAAATCCCACCACCTGTTTTTTCTTTGTTCTACCTGTCTTGAGCATGGAAGAATTTGCTCGAATCTTGTCCACTGATTGTGAGCTAGTTTGATCCCGAAAGACAATAAAAGCCACAACTTGCCATTTCAGATATGTCGTCGCCGTTGCTTGTCCGAATAGTAGTCGCTTTCCTGGTGTTAAACAGGCCCCTGAAGCCGCACTGATGATGTTGCCTAGTCAGGCAACGAAACGTCTGCAAAATAATTATCCAGCTCGGAGAACTGCTCAAAATCCGCATCCACACCCCGAGCTACAGATATTCTCATTTATTTCAAAGAGTAAAATAAAGCATTCCGCGTGGGCAATCTGAGTAGGTGATCATCATCTGCTTTCCTCAGCCACGAGGTGCTGGGATGTGTCTGAGCTAGCCTAAAAAAGCGTTCTTACACAACTACGCCCACAAACTGGAGGATTATTGCTGCGATAACACTAAGGAAGTGATCCATGTGCATCGGTTTCCGGTAGACTGTTTGTTCCAATGGCCCAGGAACAGGTCTTGCTATCGGAACATACAAGAATGACTGGCTACGGTTCTCTTCTACTGGGATGAATTGGACAATCGTGATAAGGCCAGACGTTATCGCGGTGTGATGGTCTGCGCGCCTAAGTAATACACTGAACTGTGCTGGGTAGTGCTTTTACATCTCCAGAGTCACTCAAAATAGATTGGTCAATGGTTAGAGGCTACACAAACTCAGCAACTGGTGAAACTAGATGTTCTGAATGTGTATCGAAGTACGCCGGCAGTCGGGTTAAGTAAATGCTCACTGAATACATTTGAAGGTTACTGATCACATGTTCACCAGAGCTTATTAAGAGCAGACAAATCCTTGTGGTAAATCAAACCGCAAACCTGGACATTAGGTCTCTACGTAGTCCCCGGAATTTATTGATGGTCGCCGGCACATCCCGGCTGGAAGCGTACACAAGGAGACTTGCAAAGACTTCGGAGCAAAACTAGGTGCTAGCTTGAATAGAGACCGCGAATTCTGGTGATCTCATCGTACATCAGAGATGGAAGTGGTTGCCGTCCATGGTAACCATTGTAAGTTATCCCGTCTGATACGGTAAACGCGCAGCAGGAGAGCTGGTGTTAGTGAAATTATATGTTGAAAGTGGGCAGTCTATTTACAGCTTACCAAAATGTGCGGAGCGTTGGGTTGAGCACTTTGAAAATCAATTTGATCGTCCGGAAATGTTAAATTTCTCACCGGTCAGTGATCGATCTGCTCCATGGGCAGTCCCTTTGGATTAGCCGTCTCGCTCAGAAGTCGAACGTGAGATCAGACTGTTGAAGTTGAAGATCACAGGACCAGATGATCTCCTTCTAAACCTCTTCAAAGTTAGGGGACCTGCTCGTTACTAGTTACTAGTGAAACTGTCCCAACCGAATGGAGCCGTCCCGTTATTGTCCAGATCTTCAAGAGAGGATCACGTTCGTAATGCGCCAACTATAGAAGAATCAGTCTGACCTCCATTGCCTTTAAGTTACTTGCCGCTGTCATCCTTCACAAGTTAATTGGCACCCGTGAAAGTCAGATTTCGACGAAGTCGCGGCTGCACCGATCATGTGTTCAAGTTACGTCAATTGTTGGAGCACCGGTACATAATTAGTGGCCCACCATTGTCGTGTTCCTCAACATCAAGTGTCTTCGATTTGGTGATTCGATAGTACCTTTGCAACTGTATGCTCAATAAAGGTGTCCGAGAAAAATGCAAATATTAACCGGGGGCTTTACGCGCGTAGCTCCGGCAGAGTGAGGGCTTACGGCAAACTATTGCCTCCTACAATATCTGCAGCGGGAGAAGACAAAAACGCCAGCCGTCAACAATCCTCTTCAATTTCGTCATCAACGAAGTCATGAAGTCGCGTTCACTAAACACGACTTTGAAGTTGTGGAGATGCTCTCAGGTGAACGACTTCTTGACTTGGAGAAAGCGGATGACATCGCCCTCATCTGTGACAGCTCACAAACGTGCAAAGTGGCACTAAACAGATTAGCACTGGTTGTAAGCCGTTTCGGGTTTTGCTTCGCACCCTCCAAGTGCAAAGTTTTCCTCTAAGATGGGCAGTGACCGCCTCCTGCGCTGAAGCTTGATGGGAACCCTTTAGAAGTCGTTCAGAAATTTAACTGCCGGGGTAATTGTATCAGCGTTCGTGGAATCAAAGGCGAGGTCACGAACCGTATAGTAAAAAGTCGTGGTACTTTGGTTAACTTTTGCTATTT